GTTACTCAAATTGACTCATTTTGTGCTCAATTGACCCGAAATCCCGGCAAACATATTATGAATGTGATTTTCACCTAATTTCATGAAACTTGAACCAAAATATCTAAAACATGCCTTTTCTTTCTATTTTCAATCAAAAATCGCTTAAATTTGATAAGAAAAATAAGTACAAAAATGGACTTATCAGTCATCACAAATAGACTCTTAATAATTGACCTCGTGAAGATGATTAAATCTGTTGAATGCAGAATGTACACATATATTTTATTGCATAAATATGACCCCTTTCCGGCATTCAATTATGCTCTTATCCAAACTCTTGCTGATCAAGTTTTAAACATTCTCTTGACCTTTTCTCCTCCTTGGATCCATTGGCATGTAATCAGCCAATCATGTAGTGATTCTGTTTGCATGCATTATATTTAACTAATCATCAGGTTATTATTATACTTTGTGAAACAAAAATAAAATTTAAAAGAATAAAAAATGGAGAAAAGACTAAAGCTTCAATCAACAGCATTTCACCTCAACGGCTCAAACTCTTCTATCAGTGAGCTCTTTTAATCTTCTCTAGTATGTCATGGTTGCACTGGATTAAAAGAGTCTACAAAACAAAAAAATGGTTTGATTAAAAAAATAGTATTTCTTGACCCAAAAAATACTGAAAAAATGGTAAAATAACACTGAAATTCACGTTTAAAGAAAATAAAAAATCAAAATCAATCACTAAACTTACCGTGTTCATGTGAAATTGATTCTTTCTCCTTTGATTCACGAAGTTGGGTGACTCCCTTTGAATAGATTTAGGTGTTGTCCTGGAGTTTGAAGAAGGGGTGGCAACGAAGAAGAGATGCTTAAGTGGCCTTACCAACCTCAGAGAAGGTGATGGAATCGTCGCTACCACCTTGCAGCCTTCTTCTCCTTGAACCATTGCAGCGACAGATCGGGGGTACAAGCGATGAAGGGAAATACACAAAGAATGAAGGAAAGAGATAGGTGATTAGGTGATACGGAGTATATCGGATAAGGGATTTTAATTTTTAAGTGAATGGCTTAGATCATTTCTAAATGAACGGTGAAGATGGATTTGTATCGCTATTAAGTATAAGGATTCAGATGGTGCACATGTTTATTAATGGGGTTTGGTCATGAATATTACTAACTAAAAAGATTTGAACAAATATAGGACTTCCTTTATTAGTTTTGAGAAAGGAGACCATGCCCATGGTAACAAGGACCAATGAAAGAGGAATGTTTTGACTTCTATAACTCTCCTCTGTTACATTTACCTGATTTCCATTTACAATTAATTGACCCGATTCGTTACAATTGCCTGTCCAATCAGATATAGTTACCCGAATCAATCAGTTACCCGATTTGACCAGTTACAATTATCCAACCCGATCAATTGCAATTATTTGATCCGGCCAGTCCCAATTACTCATCCGATCAATTACAGATATATGATCTGACCAGTTACAGTTACTTATCCGATCAATTACATTTACCCGATTCGACCGGTTATAGTTACCTGATCTGATCAGTTACAGTTACCCGACCCGATTAATTACAATTACCTGTTCCGCCCAATTACAATTACCCGGTCCGACCAATTACAGTTACCTGGTCTCATAGTGATTACTGCCATCCACTGATCGCCTCCGTGACCATCGCCAACCACTTCCTCCATGACATGCCGCCCTCCACCACCGACTGCCGCTGCCGACCAAGATCCTTAATCACCACTGCTCGTGACCAACGTCCCAGCTCCCAACCCCCTCTCTAGCCCCTCCCCAGTTGGTGACTACCCTGATCCATCAACCTGCCACCCATCCACTGCCCCCAACAGCCATGCTCGACGAAGATCCACCCGTTAGTACCGCACCTGCACCACCCCACCCACCCACACCAGTCCCACCTTTAATCGCTTAATCCTAGAAGCGCAACCGTCAATCACCTGCGAAATTGAAACCCTAGCCGCCCTATAGCCATCCCCGCCATCCTCGAACTCTAACACAGAGCATCGTCGCATGTATTTCCGCCATCAAATGTATCTCAAGCAGCCGCCATCGTCAATTTTGAAAAATCATAGATGGAGGCGAAGATGTGTTGAGCTGTTAGAAAATAGAAGAGGTTGTTGGTATATGAATATGTTAAATAATTTTAGTGAGGTGTAGTGTAGAGGAGGTGTTTTAGAGTAGAGCTCTTGTCTCTAGAAAAGATATATTGTATTGATGTTTCTTAGTTTGCTTGGTTTGCAAATGAGTACAATGAGTCCTATTTATAGGAGCTAGAGGATCATTCTAGATCCTTATTAAATGCTATGATTCTAGAGTATTCTACAACTATGTCTAATTAATCTAGATTTTACATAAGAATTCTCTAGTGGAGAATTCTCTAGAATACTTGTAGCTATAGTTCTCTAGAACATCTCTATCCTTTTCTACATAGAATATTCTAGATAAATGCATCACTATTTAATACTCCTCCTTGATGCATTTGTCGGTGACTCCAAGCATTCTTCGCAGAAACTGGAACATGTCTCTTGGCAGAGCCTTCGTGAAAATATCTACCAATTGTTCTTCTGTTGGGCAGTACTTCATCTCAATTTGTCCCTTTGCTTGAACATCTCTCAAGAAGTGATACTTAATATCGATGTGCTTAGTGTGATTGTGTTGAACTAGATTTTTAGCCATCGCAATAGCTGACTTGTTGTCGCAAAAGATCTCTGCCGCAGAGGTTTGCGATTCTCCCATATCTTCTAATATTCTTTTAAGACATATAGCTTGGCACGCTGCTCCGGCTGCTGCAACATACTCGGCTTTGGCTGAAGACAGTGCAACAGAATCTTGCTTCTTTGATCCCCATGAGAAAATTCCCGAACCAAGCTTAAATGCGTAACCAGAGGTGCTTTTCATGTCATCTTGTGATCCAGCCCAATCACTGTCGCTATATCCAGTTAGTCGTGAGTCAGGACTTGTTTTGTACCAAATACCATAATTGATGGTTCCTTTTAGGTACCTAAGGAGTCTCTTTGCCGCTCCATAATGAGTCTCAGTTGGACTTTCCATGAACCTCGAGAGCAAGCTTGTAGCATACATTATGTCTTGGTAGCATCCGTTGCCTTATAGCCGTTAAGTAGAGTAGACTCCCAATCAAACTCCGGTAATTGGTAGCATCCGTTGGCTTTGACCCATCTTCTTTCTTTAATTTCTCATTAGGAACCAACGGAGTAACGACGGCTTTGCAGTCTTGCATTTTGAACTTCTTTAGCATGTCCTTAATATATTTTTCTTGAGATAAGAAGATGCCTTCTTCTTCTTGACTTATCTCCATGCCAAGGAAGTAATGCATTAATCCCAAGTCACTCATCTCAAAGGTGTTCATCATGTCTCTCTTAAATTCTTCAATTAATTTTGAATTATTTCCCGTGACAATTAAGTCATCAACATATAGAGAGATGATGAGAATGTCAGATTTACCTTGGGATTTGATGTATAGTGTAGCCTCGTTCTTGCTCCTCCTGAACCCTTGACGGGTGAAGTATCCATCAATCTTGCTATACCAGGCTCGTGGAGCTTGTTTGAGCCCGTAAAGTGCTTTCTTTAGACGAAGAACTTTTCCTTCTTCTTTGATGAATCCTTCTGGTTGCTCCACATACACTTCTTCTCTTAGTTCTCCATTTAGAAAGGCTGATTTAACGTCTAGCTGATAAATTTTCCATTTCTTTTGAGCTGCAAGAGCTATGAGTGTTCTTATTGTGTCCATCCGGGCAACTGGTGCAAACGTCTTTGTGTAGTCAACTCCCGGTATTTGAGCATACCCCTTTGCAACCAGCCTTGCCTTATGCTTCTGAATTGAGCCATCGGGGTTCAGTTTCGTTTTGTACACCCATTTGACTCCAATAACCTCCTTGTTATGTGGAAGATCTACCATTTCCCAAGTATCATTCTTTACTATCATTTTTATCTCCTCCTCCATTGCTTTAATCCAAACTTTTTCTTTGGAGGCTTCAGTGTAACTATGTGGCTCCAAAGAACAAAAGTTGCATGTTTCATAGACGTCAGTAGACTCATATAGGTCTGCTAGAGTTCTTACCCGAAGAGGTGGGGATTCTGGCGAGGAGTCATGTTCGCTAGATTTATTCGCTTCGGAAGAGGATCTTGGAGTAGATGTGGGGCTCTGTTGACCGTGATCTTCTTCTTCTGGGATTTCCTCTAATTGGGTAGTAGTTGTCTTTCTTTCAACTCTTTCGGTCTCCCAATTCCAAGAGGCTTGCTCATCAAACTCCACATCTCGACTCGTCACCAGTTTCTTAGTCTCGAGATTATAGATTCGATATCCCTTGGATTTGGAGCTGTAACCGAGGAAGATTCCCTTCTCTGTCTTGTCTTGTCTTCTCGTCGCTTCCTTTTTCCGGAGTGATGATTCCTTCTTCAACAATATCCCAAAGATCATGTGAGTCTAGGCAAGTCTTCATACGGACACTCCAATAGTCGTAGCTTTCTCCGTTGAACATCGGAGTCGATACCGAGAAGCTTGATGTCGCCATAACGCCCGCTTGTGATCGAACCTGGCTCTGATACCACTTGTTAGAAAATAGAAGAGGTTGTTGGTATATGAATATGTTAAATAATTTTAGTGAGGTGTAGTGTAGAGGAGGTGTTTTAGAGTAGAGCTCTTGTTTCTAGAAAAGATATATTGTATTGATGTTTCTTAGTTTGCTTGGTTTGCAAATGAGTACAATGAGTCCTATTTATAGGAGCTAGAGGATCATTCTAGATCCTTATTAAATGCTATGATTCTAGAGTATTCTACAACAATGTCTAATTAATCTAGATTTTACATAAGAATTCTCTAGTGGAGAATTCTCTAGAATACTTGTAGCTATAGTTCTCTAGAACATCTCTAGCCTTTTCTACATAGAATATTCTAGATAAATGCATCACTATTTAATATGAGCGACGGGTAAAAGAAGGAGAAGAGAAGGAGGGGCTCACTGAAGATTGCGGCGGTGGATATGGCGGCGTGAGATAGCTGAAGCGGCGTCCATGGCTGAGGCGTGTGAAGATGTTCTGTGCAGAAGAAAGTGGCGCAGGGTAGGTCCGGGACATTTTAGTCAGTTGCTCAAATGTAGTGTCTTTTTTTTGTCTAATTTGAAATCAGGTCTATATATGCCCACTCAAAAATCTGTAGTAGGGAGTATTATTTTTGTCATTATTTCTTTATTAATTATTGAAAAGTAAAGGACTTTGTAAAGTTTTGTTTATCTTTCATTATTAAATACTTTGAAATGTGTAGAGTTATCTAGAAATATGTAATAAATAAGAGTTAACTAGAAACGCTCTAGAACGCAATTAATTTGATAGTTATCTAGAAACCCTAGAATATAATTAATGACAAGTTCACTATCAATAAGAGATTTGAAAAATAAAGCGTGTTGATTTAGTGTCGTCTAATTATCAATGACCTAATATTTTTGAAATGTAAATGAGTATAGATTTGAGAGCATGTTTGGTAATCCTATTTTTAAGCTTATAAGCCTTATTAGTCAACTTTTCATCAAATACGTAATTTTTGATTTCACGCACTGAGTTGTATATTAATTAGAATAAGTAAGGTTGAAATTACTTTTCTGACTGAATTGGATATAGTTACCGTTTAAGACCGTTTTAGCTATTCGTTCATACAATGTTTCTTCATATTATTAATAAAATGTATTTTAAATATTAATTTTCCATAATACAACGAAATAAGCCAATAATCCAGCTACTTCAGCCATAATTCCATAAATTTAACCAAATTAGTCGACTAGACCAATTTTAGTGTTAATAGACGGGACTCTCCATATTTGTATAAATTTAAATATTGATGATAAAATTCGATTTTAAAGATAATGAAAGTCAAATCAATCCATAGAGGGGCTTATCACTATAGGCTATTTTTTTAGTAGTGGACCGGGATTGTCGGGTCATTGACCGGACTGGATCGGGATTGCTCGGCCGTCGACCGGACCAGACCAAGACCGCCGAGTAAGTATGCAAATTCATTGCAGCTGCACTCCAACACTAGGCGCAAGTCTGGCACCAAACTTCAAAAAAACCACATGCATGCATTTCGGCAGATTTTTATTTTCCTCGTATATATTAATTTCTTGCCAAAATTTAAATACTATCGTACGTAGTATCATATAGAGAAAGAGAATGTGCATGTTTACTATTTAAAAAATCTCTAAAAGATCTTCCAAAATAAAATGGAAAAAGGGTCAGATAGGTCATCGAACTTACCTAAAAAGGTCAATTAAGCCTTATATAGGAGACTCTGTCCGGCCTTCGCCATTTGGGGCTGTTCTCGGTGGAATTTTTTGATGAAATTTTTTGAGCATCTTATTCATTAAGGGGGTGTTTGGATCTGATTCTTAAAACTGCTTCTGCTCCTTCAGGGAGCAGAAGCAGAAGTTAGAGTGTTTGGGTGAAAGTGCAGAAGTGATTTTGGTGCTCTAATTTACTCCTAGAATCAGTTTTTTAGAAGCTGGAGAGACCGGCTTCTGAAAACTGATTCTGATTCTGCTTCTACTTTAAAAAAGAAGCAGAAGCAGAATCAGTTCCAAACACCCCCTAAGTCTAGTTTACTCATACCAAATTTCAGCTAAAACTTCAATCGGGAAGGCATTCAAATGAATTCTTGAAGATAACTGCGCTTCTAACTGCGCAGTGATTTTCAAGAATTCATTTGAATGCCTTCCCGATTGAAGTTTTAGCTGAAATTTGGTATGAGTAAACTAGACTTAATGAATAAGATGCTCAAAGAATTTCATCAAAAAATTCCACCGGGAACCACCCCAAATGGCGACGTCCGGACAGAGCCTCCTAAATGAGGCCTTATTTGACCTTTTTTGGTTAGTACATGGGCCTATTTGCACCTTTTCCCTTTTTTAATAAAATATCTTATTTGAGATGTTATGGTGAGTAACATCTGAGAAAAGTCTGTAGCTTATAGCATTCATTAGTTCTAACAACTTGTATGTCCAATAGAATTAAATCAAATAGTCAGTTTTTTTTTATCAAGTTGAGGTGATTCCCGATGGTATTTTTTGCTGATTTTTTTTGTATGTTCTTCATCAAGTCTAGTTCATCCATACCAAATTTGAGCAAAGCATTCAATCGGGAAGGCCGTCAAATGATTTTTGCAAGTTAACTGCTCCGGAATATACATATAAAACGTAGTTATCTTTCAAAAATCATTTGATGGCCTTCCCGATAGAATTTTTTTGCTCAAATTAGGTATGGATGAACTAGACTTGATGAGGAATATACACAAAAAATTTGAGCCAAAAATATCACCGAGAACCACCTCAAATTGAGGTAGCCAGGCTTATGTGTGCCTTGTCATGAGGACCCCATGTTATGTTGCAAGAAATATCGTTGAAAAGGAAGAGATATGTAATAACCAAGAGTCCAAGACTAAAGACTCCCTTGGAAATCTCCCCAAAAGTTGGCCCCAACAGCTGAAAATTAAATGGGAAGCTTTGTACTGGGATCATGATGAAGCTCAATCAATCCTCCTTTTGAACAAACAAGTGTTAGGTTTTTAAGGAATGGAATAATTTGTTCATATGCGAACAATATTTTCAGTAAGAATTTTTACGAAATGGTTTTGTTCTAAATATGATAGGGTTGTTTTTAGAAGGATGTAATAGAACCTTAATTACTACGTACGTAAAGTATGAGTTGTATGAGTTGTTCATAGTAAATACGTGGTTGTATATCGAATCGACTTTAGACTTTTTCCGTTAAAAACATCACTATGTCAATGATCAATGCAAGCTCGAAAATGTACATGCATATCATGTTTTCCAAACACATCACCTGAAAAAAAGTAAAGTATTATGAAGAAGTATTATATTAGTATAACACAACAAATTATTATATCAATTCTATAAATGTATTTTTGCACTTCTATTGTAAACTTTGGGAGTTGAAATGAACACTTCGGAACAGAAGAGTTCCGCCATTGCCAATGACTGGATTACTGGAACGGAGGTATTGTTCGCAAACGCGCTTGCACATCAGATATTGTGGACACCATTGGATCTTCATAGCAGAAAAAAACAGATGAAGCCTTCACACCAAACTCAGGTGCACACACGAATGACACGATAGGCAGCTGATGCTTAGGTTAGATGACTTGGATCGGATCATTAGTCTATTGCGTATGTTTAAATTTACAAAAATGTTATTATTGTAAAGACTTGTATGCATTTTTCGAAAGATTGCATGTTTGTCGAAACAAATAGTCAAAAAATAGTTAAAAACCTTTTATAGTGATACAACAGAATTGAAGTGAGAATTGTTCAATTGGATCAAATTGTTGATAAGGTAACGATAGAAGTCCAGTAGCTAACGGAGTATATTAATGAAGTTTTAAAGCTGGAATACAGAAAAAAACGTTTGAGACTCTTCGAGTGGCCTCACACTCCCAAGTTCCCAGTCCCGATCCCAAAACTGCCTCCGTTATTCTTCCCCCCCTACCCCCTTTTATAATAAAACTCTCTAAAAGGGCCAGCCCTCACTTAAGCTATTGGGCCTAGAACCCTATTATTGGAAAACATTAAAATACTTAATAAGACTTTAATTATTTGTAGTACCCGGGTCCCTATCATCACTCCCCCTGAACTTCCACCTTGTCCTCAAGGTGGATGATAAGAGACTGATTTTCCATTGGGTTTCAGCAGGTTTTCAGCTTCATCCCTTTCATATAACTGATCTTCTGTTCCCTTCTCTTCTTCTGGCTCTTCCATCCAGATAAGTTGATAATTTTTCATTCCACATACATGCTCCTTGCCCCATTTATTTCCACATTTGAAACATAGGCCCTTCTTGCTTCTTTCTTCTAAGTCCGCTTGTGTCAACCTTTGGCCACTCTCCCATGTCTTATTTGGTTTTGGCGATTCCTCTAGTTTGTTCTCTGAGAGTGTTCTCTCCGGAGCAGTTGTTCTTCCCTTTGTCGCTTCCACCCAATTCCAGGCTTTGACAAGTTTTCCTCCATGTTCCTTCAAGCCTTTGTTGTCTTCTTCTTTATTTGTTTCTCCCGTCCATACCTTGTTCTTCTGTTCAACTAGCTGGGCTGTGTCCATAAGATCAGTTAACCCAGTGGGCCGGTGCAACTTCAGCTCTGAGCTAATTTCTTCTTTGAGGCCATTAAAAAATACTCCTTTTAGCATCTCTGGGTCAGCAATTTTGAGGGGAGCTACAACCCTTTCAAAATGATCCCTGTACTCCATGACTGAATTAGTTTGCTTAATTTTGAGCATAGGGCCAAACGGGTTCTGAACCAATTCCGGCTGGAAGCGTCTGATCAAAGCTTCCTTAAAATTACCCCAGGAGTGGTCATCCGTCTGTTCATCCCACCATTGATACCAGTTCAGAGCCCTTTCGGTCATGGCTATCAGGACAACTTCCACTTTGTCACCCTCCAATACATGATTTAATTTAAAATAGCGTTCAACCCTGAGAAGCCAACCGTAAGCATCGTTTCCACTAAACAAAGGTAAATCCACCTTTCTTCCGGTATAAACCCGATCGTTAATTCTCGTATGCTCAGGAGTACGAGAAACGGATTTAGAATCATGAGAATTACCTCCTGAACTGGACGAACTCACACTGGCAGAAGTCTGGCGCCGGCGAGGGGTGGCCGATCGTCCTCTTCTTTTCCTGCGATTCCCCTGAGTCTCGAGATTTTGCATCTTCTCCAACAGCATCTGCAACGACTCGTTCATCGCTCCCAACTCTGTGCGCATCTCTTCCTTTGATCGTTCAAACGATCGTTCCAAACTGTCCAGTCGCTGCTCCATGTTCAGTCGAGTGAGTACCATACACAGGCGCTCTGATACCAAATGATAAGGTAACGATAGAAGTCCAGTAGCTAACGGAGTATATTAATGAAGTTTTAAAGCTGGAATACAGAAAAAAAACGTTTGAGACTCTTCGAGTGGCCTCACACTCCCAAGTTCCCAGTCCCGATCCCAAAACTGCCTCCGTTATTCTTCCCCCCCCCCCTACCCCCTTTTATAATAAAACTCTCTAAAAGGGCCAGCCCTCACTTAAGCTATTGGGCCTAGAACCCTATTATTGGAAAACATTAAAATACTTAATAAGACTCTAATTATTTGTAGTACCCGGGTCCCTATCAATTGTACACTTAAATTCTTTTAGGGTGTGATTGGGAGTCAGATTTTGGGGGGGAGGGGAAGGGATATGAGGGTCAATGACCCCCCATTTTGCGTTTGGGTGTTTTTTAAAATGCAAGGAAAGTTTTTGAAGGTTTTTTAAAATCCTCCTAAACCCCTCTAAGACCGACTTTTCTAATTCCCCCAAATCGGGAGGTTTCGAAGGACCAACCGATCAAGCAACTAGCCCAGCTCTACGAACGACAATCTTCTCCCAACTATGGTATCCGCTAGGAACCCTACCTGAAGTTTTTCTCTGCTCGATCAAATCGCTAGGAACACTTGCTGCTTGAAGCTTTTTTTCTGCTCGATCAAATCGCTAGGAACCCTTGCTGCTTGAAGTGGATCCTCTGCTATCGACGCCACACCTTCACTACTTCACCGAAATTCTCAGGTATGTTCTATTTGCCAAGCATTTTTCGTATTTTGTTGTAATCTGCTTCACTCTATCTCCGCTCAACATTTGGCCTCTCTGTCTCTCAATCGTATTTCACATTCCCTCATATTGATTCAATTTTTCTTTGGTTTTTTTGTGAGATATGGATTTTATACCTGGTATTTAGCTAGTCATGTGCTTCTTCGTATGATTTTTTCTTCAATTTGTTATTCATTTTCATGGAATCATTGTTGGGTATTTAGATTTGAGATTTTTGATATTTTTTGAGCAAGCGTTTATTCACCCATCATTAATTACAGGCTTATTTAATAAATTAAATTCCACTATCTGATAGAATTCTTTTCCAAAATGGTGGTGATATATTTAGTCACGATTGTATATGTATGTCTTAATTAATCAATCTATACTTTCCAGATCTAATTGGCTGCAATCTTGAAGAACTAGTAAGATTTAATCAGCCTACCCCCCCCCCCCCCCCCCCCCACTGAAAGTAACTGGTCTCCAATTTTTTTGACATCTGCTATAAATTAAATAGAGTGCATTAGTTTTGTTTTTGGATTCTGTAGGATCGAATTGAGCTATATTTAACAAACTAGTGTAATGCTCCCCAGTCTCATTTAAAGTGAGTGAGATTTTTGTTTTTTGGCTAAGGAGATTCTTTGGTAAAAAAAACTAGAAAGCAGTTAAGTAGGCATTTGGAATGTCATACACCATTTCAGAAATACTTTTGTTTTATGCAAATGCATTTCAGAAATACTAGACAACAATTTTTCCTAATTCATTTCAACCAATCAAGTATTCAATTGCAAAAGTCTATTACATATGGAGTATAAGATAACTTTGTTCTTCTGTCAAAGTATATTTTGCCAACCAGATATATAGGTTTACAAAATTGTGTCTGCAAATATGAGATGGCATGAAGAAGTGCAGCAACTGCAAAAGTCTATAACATACTGAGTATAAGATAACTCAGTTCACTTTTTGCATCAAGACTTGTGCCTTTTCACTTTTTGATGGTCAAACTTTGAGATGAGTACTCTTTTTATATAGTTTTAAAAATATTTTTACTTTCTTTAAACTCAAATCTTGAAACTTGACTGAATAAGGGACTTATTTGAAACTTTCAAATCTTGAACCTTTCCTTAAAAACTATCTTTGAGCAAATATCAGGGTAATTGAGTCTGAAAAAACTCAACCCTCTTCATAAAAATATATAGAAATATATCTCCATTCTTTTATTTGTGAATGAAGCTTAGATAAAACTGACTGATTAAGGCATTTATTTGCAACTTTCGATTTGAGCCAAAGATCAAGGTGAAAATTTGACAGGTAAACTTGTTGTCAGAAAGATGACTTCAACACCTTTTCCACTTCAAATGTTAGTGGCTATACACATATATGCATGACTACCTGAGTTCTTTACTTCTAATTTTAGTGACTTACAACCAGTGAGTATTTGCAACTTCTCTGTTGCTCAAAATTTTATTTGGAACATGACTAACAAGTCCATCACTTTATATTAGCAACCTAAAAAGTGAAAACAGCCTTGATTTATTATCTTTGTTAGGTAAGTATTAATTTTTAGGAAAAAATTGTAAGTCATTAATTGTATTTTTGTGATAATAGAAAACATCTTTGCTTCTTCAATGTACTTTTGTTAGAAAATATAAAAGTACAAAAGACTATTTTCCCTCTTTCAATTTTTACTAACATATTATTAGAATTCTACCTCTTATAGATGGATGATGCACGCATATTGGATTTGCATAGAAAGATACAAAGACTGCAAATGGCTACAATTTATGTTGTATGCATTGTAGTTTATTATTTCATAACCAAAAGCGCTCGAAATAGAAGACCAAGTCATGCTCTAATCACACAGAGAGAGAAAGAACGAACTAAAACGATGAAAAAAATTGATACTAATGAGGGTCGTAAAATAATTAGAATGGGTCCAAAAGCTTTTATGGACCTATGTGCCATGTTACAGAGTGAGGGTGGTCTTTTGCCAACACAACGTGTGTGTGTAGAGGAACAAGTGGCAAAAACTCTACATATCCTAACACATGGTATAAAAAGTCAAGTGGTTCAGTTTTGGTTTCAACGTTCTGGTGAAACTATAAGTCGCCATTTTCATCGTGTGCTTAAAGCAATTATTGCTCTAGAGGGAAAGTATCTCAAACAACCGGATGGCTCACAGATACCTTCAAGAATACTAGGGAGCAGTCGATTTTATCCTTATTTTGAGGTATAAATTATTTTAATTTTTAATTTAGAAACATAATTTTCCGATAAAAATAATTAATACAATAAATTCACAATTTTAGGATTGTGTCGGGGCAATCGATTGTACCCATGTTCGTGTAAGAGTGCCATCAGCTGATGCTCCTAGATACCGAGGTAGGAAAGAATTCCCAACACAAAATGTGTTGGCTGCGTGCTCTTTTGACTTGCAGTTTACTTACGTTTTGGCCGGGTGGGAAGGAACTGCATCAGATTCAAGGATTTTAAAAGATGCATTAAGTCGAACAAGCTGTTTGAAAATACCAGAAGGTAATTAAAAGTTTTTTTATTGTTAATATACACATGCTCATATATAAACGTTATTAATAACACTTTTTAATAGGTAAATATTACCTTCTTGATGCTGGGTTTATGCTAAGAAAGGGACTCATTACACCATTTAGATCAACACGTTATCACTTGAAGGAATGGTCTTCAAGAAATCCACCTCGAACAGCTCAAGAACTATTCAACCACCGACATGCATCCTTGCGTAATGCCATAGAGAGATGCTTTTGTATTTGGAAGAAGAGATTTCCTATCATTGCGACTGGAAGAGAAGCACACTATGACGTGAAGACACAAAATAGGATTATCATAGCATCATGCATTTTGCACAATTATCTCATGGTAGCGGATCCTGATGAGGAGTTAATGGCTGAAGTTGATGCAGAAATGACCAATCAAAATGAAGCTCAAATTTCGAGTTATGTGGAACACAACGAGATTGAAGAACATACTCATCTAGGAGAGAACTTGAGAAATGCTATAGCTAATTCTATGTGGACAGATTACACATCGTGATGTTTTTTTTTTTTTTTAATTAGGAGTGAACCTTGGAATTGTTCTAACTTCTAAGGTTGTTTCAAACTTGAAAGATATTTTGACTTGTTGATTGATAATTAAATGATTGTCATTGATGCATAGTTTATTTTAAATCATATGTTCTTATCGAAGTTTTTCTTAGAACTAATATAATGGATTTATAGAGATGGAAATGGATGCTGCAACTGCCAGTTCTAAGGGTGTGAAGGCAACAGGAAAGAAGTACACGATAGACAGGGAGATATGGACAACAGATATGGACAATGAACTTGTTAATTCATTCCTACAACAACATAATGAAGGGAATAGAGTGAGCGGGACATTCACCACAAAGGCTTACATGTCAATCACTAGTGACTTGCAAAATAAGTTCGGAAGACCTTTCAAGAAAGATAAGGTGAAAGGGAGATGGAAGTTATTGAAAAGAAATTTTACCAAGTGTTATGATTTATTCAAAAATCTCAGTGGCTTTGCTTGGGATCCAATCTCAAAACGTTGGTTGGCTGAACCTGAAGTCTGGAAAACACTGGTAGAGGTACAACCAAAAAGTTCTCAAATTTAACTAACTTTATTTTTCAGTTTATTTTACATATTATGAAATTCTAAGTTCTCTTATTTCATTTAATTTTATTTAATAGGTTCATCCCGATGCTGAAGAGTGGATGAGGAAACCGATTGCGAACTACGACAAGATGGTGATCATATGTGGAGAAGACCGAGCATATGGAGGGATGTCAGAAACCAGTGAGGATATTAGGAAGGATAAATCATTTGGTGCAGATTCAGTGGAGACTAGTGATAGTGTGCAAGAAGGTGTCAATGATGTTGATGTCACATCACCTCAGATCAGAGTGCAAGATGTCTGAGATGAACCTAAGTCCAAGCGGTCAAAGAAAGCCAAGGATAAGGTTGAAGAGGGAGGAATAACAGCGGCACTTATGACGATTGCTGAAGCTTTTAAGGACAGCACTTCTGCGCTTCGTGAGAGCACGGTAGCTTATGAAAAATCTCATCAAAAGCTTCCGGTTTCTGAAGTTGAGCTTTGGAAGCTTTTGGAGGATTTGCATATTGAAAATCATTTGATCAACCGAGCATATCTATATCTTCTCAACAATCCCGATATGATCAAAGGACTCATTGGATGCCCCAAGCACAAACAGAAGGAGTTGCTTGTTGAAATGGTGTTTGGTCCACCGGCATCTACTACCAGGTTATCTTATTATGTTTTTAAGTACTTTAGTTTATTTTTTAGTATACTATTAATTGATGAGTATAGTCTGTTATAAGTACACTGACCTTCCGGACTGACCTGAGGTTATAAGTATAGTCCACCGACATCCATTGATATGTTTTTCTTGCTTTGGCTAATAAGTATAGGCTGTTTACATCCTTCTGGACTGACCTTATTTAATAATTGAACAACCAGACTGTCCATCCTTCAGGAACGTATTTTATTTTCAAATAATTACTGCTTATGTCGGGACCATAATGGACCTTCCATTGATGATTGGGGGGGGGGGGGGGAGTGTTAAGAAGATGTTTTCTTCACGTTCTCACTTTTGGGAAGGAAATGTGAAGGAGTGGGTGTTTTTTTCCCCAATCTTTCTTTGTGAATGACTGAAAGTGTTTATTATTTTATAGTTTAATACTCCCTCCGTCCCGCTAAGATTGTCCCATTTTACCTTTTCGGGAAGTCCCACTAAGATTGTCTCATACAAAATTTGGTAAAGATTGTGTGGTTCTAAACCTTTCTTACTTTATTCTTACTTTATCAATTTAATATCAACCACACAAACTCATTTTTCTTAATAATCGTGCCACCTTCTTCCGTCCCAATCTTAGTGGGACGGAGGTAGTATTTAATATAAATTTTGACTTGCAAGTTGAAAAGTTGAAAGTGACATTGGTATGAATGGAAGATATGGAATCATGGAAAAAGGTAGACTTTGGGTATTAAACTGTTTATCTTGTCCAAGTTCCTCTGTATTTTATGGAGCTGATGTTTCTTCTTTTCACTATGTGACCCAAATTTTCACTCGCAGAAGTGCTGTTTTGTGTGTTTATTCATCATTTTCTTAATTATATTGCTAGTGATTACAACCAATGCCCTCAAAAAGTTTTTTGGGTTTTGAAGAAGCATGGATCAAAACAGTATTGGTCTAAAATGTATTGGCCTTATTTTGTTTGCATATTTTGAGATGAGCAAACAAAATAGCAATCAGAATTTTAATGAAAAAAACAGTCCCTAGCATTGTTAAGTGTTTGTTTTTTACTAGAAATATGTTTGCAAAATTGTTGGAAGAAATCTAGAGATAGCAAGTTTAGGATGCACTTTTTCCGTCTATGTCAAACCATTGTTGCTTAGGATGAAACTTTTAAAAATGATACTACAACCGTCCCAAAATGATACTATCATTTTGGGGGTGTCCCAAAATGATACTACCCATTTGAATATTACTTAATTATTTAATTATTACTTAAATAATTTTGTTGTTTATTTAATTATTACTTGCAAGTTTTGAATATTATATTAACCAATTTTTCTTTTTGATGCAGGCTATATCAGTGAAGGCAAAGGCGTGTGAAAGTCAAGCTTCTGACCTTTTTATGTTATTGATTGGAATGTACTAGATAAATATAACTGCTAGTACTTACTTGAAATAAAATGTGAGACTTAATACGCTGAGATATTATTGTCCTATGATGGTTAAAGTTAGTTGTGTTCCTTTATACGTAGTATATTTATTTTTCATTTTGGTTTAATTTTTTGTCAAAAGTATAGGTATATAGCAAGTTTTTGGATATATTATACTTCAATTATTAAAAACTTTTTTAATAAAAAAACAATAATTTTTTGTTTGCTTTTGTGAAATTGAAATGTGAATTTAAATATTGTTATTTATTTAAATAATTATTATTCTCTCAAAAAAAAAAAAATTAAATAATCATTATGATGTTTTTTTTTAAAATATGACTTCATTTTCTGACTCTTTTTTTTTACTTATTAGCTTACTAGTTGTTTTTTCATTAAATACGTAATTTTTTTATTTTGTGCACTGAATTATATAATAATAAACCGTTTTAGGAAATTTTATAATTTTTTATTTTGAATTTGATATTACCATACTCTTCATAATTTATATATGTAAATATTGAAGCAATTTTTCAAGAAAAATATCAAAGCAACTAGTAATCTAATCTAAATAATAAAAATATATGTAACATTCAATGTACTATAATGTTTATACAATGAGAAAGGGGTACATGGGTCATTTTAAATAGAGTCAATTCCCTAAATAGGACTAAAAAGTGGCAAAATTGCACAAATAAGACTACATTTTTTAAATTCCCTTAATAGGACTATTTATGTGTGTTTGGCCAAATATACCCTTGTAACTTGTGAAATGTTTTAATTAATAATAAAATCATACAAAAATAATAAAAATCGAAAAAAATACTAAAAATCGTAAAAAGATAATAGAAAATTATTAAAAATATTTTAAAAAAAAAAAAATATTTTTAAAAAAAAAAATAAAAAAAATAAAAAAAAAATCGTAAAATTAAAAAAAAAACATTACCACCCCTGCCACCCCCCAGCACCACCAGCTCCCATCACCGGAGAAAAATATGCCAACATTTTAAATAATGCCATAATGATGGCATATTCAATGAAAATGTTGGCATATTGAAGAGTAATTATGCCATCTTTTTGGCATTTTCAGAAAAAGATGTCATTTTTTTACCAAAAGTGGAAGAAATTTCACCAATCGGAGGTGGTGGTGCTGGGAGGCGGCGGATGGCGGTGGGAAATGTATCCATAATTTTTTTCATTTTTTTATGGGTTTTTACTATTTTTTATTTATTTTTTAAAAAAAATTTAAAAAAATAAAAATTAAATTTTTTATTTTATAAATGTTTTATAAATTTTTTATAATTTTTTTACGTTTTTTAAATATTTTTACGTTTTTTTTATGATTTTATTATGAATTAAAGCATTTCATTATGAATTAATACTCTTAGGGGTATTTAGGGTAGAAAATCTATGTTTAGTCATATTTAGGGAATTTAAAAAGTAGTAGTCCTATTTGTGCTTTTTAGGAACTCATTAGTCCTATTTAGGACAATTTCCGTTTTAAATATATGTCCTCCAAAACCCTCCACTTTTGGAATTTATAATTCCCAAACAAGAGGAGGGAATCCATTTCCATCTCCCTCCCCTTCCCTTCCCTCTACTCCCCCTCAAAGCCTTCCCCTTCTCTCACCCTCAAACTCCCAAACACACCCTTAGAGTTTTAGTCAAGTCAATTTGGAAACTTTTTCAAATAACAATCCTCTAGTCCACATGAGCAACCAATTTTGTATATCAATTTATTGGAAGCCACAAGGATAAGAGGGAGAAAACATTAACAGTACAATACCTTGATCATAATTAACAACTTCATAATGCTATAGAGTTATACACCAACAAATTTTTTATACCTAAAATAGGCTTACCCTCATTCACCCTAATTAGTTTGTATAAAGAGATAAAGATACGGAGCATAATATCATATCACAAACTTCAACATCAAAGGGTCACAAATTCTAAGTAGGCAGGCACACGAAATGATCCTTAAATGGCCATCAAGCATTATGTATAAGAGCCATCAACCACTGATCTAGTGTCAAGAAAAGCTAGAATAGCATTAAATATTACCAAGTTAAGCTGTAGCTATTTTGAGTTTTTAACTTCCAACTATGAATGTGCTTTAAAACGTAAATAAACAGAAACTGAGCAACAAAACAGTACAACCATCAACAACAAAAAAATGACACACAACATGAATCTTTCATGGTCAAGGAAAACTAACAAGCGGTGGGAATGCCATTTATGCAAAACATATTCATTAAGATTTTCATGGTATATAACATTAAGGTGTTGACACACTCAGGACACAACAGGCTTGTTATCCCAAATCTCTCTTGCTTCAATTAGGGAAGGACAGTACCTATTAGCTAGCACTTCAACTTGTTCTGAAAAGGATTTGCTTGCATAGCTACCAATGTGAAGAACCATTTGCCTCCAACGCTTCAAACAGATATCTCCAGGCCTATGTTCCAGAAGATTATCCCAGTCCACATTATCCACACATGTCGCATCCATTCTATAAAGTGCATCGATCATACGAAAATCATCAGTGTCCTCCCATATCCCTTCAGCCACCATAGGTGATGACAGCTGGCCGTACCACTTCACACAGCAAACCGAATCAGTGCGTGTGGATAACTTATTACTAATAGCGGTCCAAGCCACATTGTCTCGTAGCATACCATGCTTAGATTTCTTTTCTTCAGAAATCCTCAATTGCAGATCTTTGTTGACTAAGTCAAACAAGTTCTGGTACTCATCCTGAGACCAGTGTCCTCTCTTCAGGTTAGGCAAGTGTATTCTGCGCCATAAATCCTTCACATGAAACCTATGTGACCCGAGTGCATCAGCGAGTTCTCTCCACTGATTCCCTTTTAATTTCTGATGTTTTAGTACCAGTTGCTTCTCTTCTTCGCTCCATTTGTGGTTTTCAAGCCTCCGGAATAGGACTTGAGTACGATGATACACAGCTTCTAAAGGGCGATAAGGTATGGCAGCTGCTATATCCTTCCAACAGTGTCTTACTTCAGGGTAAGATTTACTGTTTAACACCATATCCAATCCTTCCTCCCCTAGACCATGCATCTCAATATAGTTATAAACAGCTTTTTTTATTATCTTATCTTCTTCTTTAGAGAACCGCTTACCTCGAACCAGCTTCACTTCTTCATTTTGATCATTCCCGCCCTCAGAAAAATTAGACGCAGGAAATACCTCCACCTCACTGGAAAAGGTCACATTCTTCTTGCTACTTTTCTGTTTTTTTCCTTTAGAACTATTACGGTTTACCTGTTTTCCATTAATATTACTATCTCTTTCTCCATCTAATGATCCCACATCATGACCCCTCTTCTTTTTCTTGTTCTTCTTCTTCTTCTTCTTGGCCTTGTCCACTCTGCCCTCATTTTTCCTATTACTTTCAGAAGCCTTAGTTTCAGCTTGATGCATGTGACCTCCAGCATCTACAGAAATATCATGTGTAGTATCTTTATCATGGGACACTTCATGAGATCCATAGTCATCCTCCGTCTTTTGAGTCTTGTTCCTTTTCTTCTTCTTTTTGACCTTTTCATAGTCATCACCAGTCACTGTTCCTACCTGCTGCTCATCTTTCCTGTTGTTCTCTTGAATCCTTTTTTCACTAATTTCATCTCCCCTCTTTCTTTTCCTCTTTTCTGTTTTCTTGAAAGTAACTCCATTCGTATCATCAGAAAGTACTACCCCTGCATCATCTGTTGCAGCTTTCTTCCTTTTCCTCTTTTCAGTTTTCATAGAGGCAACTCCATAAGTATCATCAGAAAGCGTAATGCCTGCACCATCTCTTGCAGTTTTCTTCCTTTTATCAACACCATCATTATCACGCTTCATTTTTTTCAAATTTTCCTTCTCAATGATGTTATGTCCCTTAACTCCCACATCATGGGACACTTCATGAGATCCATAATCATCCTCCGTCTTTTGAGTCTTGTTCTTTTTCTTCTTCTTTTTGACCTTTTCATAGTCATCACCAGCCACTGTTCCTACCTTCTGCTCATCTTTCCTGTTGTTCTCTTGAATCCTTTTTTCACTAATTTCATCTCCCCTCTTTCTTTTCCTCTTTTCTGTTTTCTTGAAAGTAACTCCATTGGTATCATCAAAAAGTACTACCCCTGCATCATCTGTTGCAGCTTTCTTCCTTTTCCTCTTTTCAGTTTTCATAGAGGCAACTCCATAAGTATCATCAGAAAGCGTTGTGCCTGCATCATCTCTTGCAGTTTTCTTCCTTTTCTCAACACCATCGTTATCACGCTTCATTTTTTTCAAATTTTCCTTCTCAATGCTTTTATGTCCCTTAGCTCCCACATCCTTCACACTATGAATAGGATTGCCAGCTGCAATATCATTGATCTTCTCCTTCCGTTTCTTAGACTTCCTAGATAGCTCTGATTTCTCCAGAGAACCAACCACTTCATCTTCCACCTCCATGGCTGTACAAGAATTCTGTTATTGCTAAGCTCCACTAGAATAATTTCAAAATTGAAAAATGAGAAAATGAGAAATGTTTAGCACTTGATATTAATTAAATTTATAAATTTAATTATAGTTGACAATTTTTACCTAATAAAATCAACAAATTATAACACCAACGGTCCAACACTCAATACATAATAATCAACATTTAAGAAATCACACAATGAACTGTGAATCAAATCAATTAATAAACTAATCAAATAATCATATTAATCAATAAATGAAAAAGTCTAAAACTCCAAAACATGTAAATGTAAAGCCATTAGGTGATTATGAAATAAGGAAAGACGGCAGAGGACGGGAGGAGTACCTGAATCCAGGAGCCCTGAAGGCTGAAGCGGTGAGGCAGTCCGGTGAGTCCGCACTGAAGACTGAAGCCTCACGACGCACCACTGCACGGACGAAAAAACGGTCTGCACCAGAAGGCAGGACTGAGATCTGAAAATCCGAGATTGGCGAGAATCCGAGAAGGCTGAAGGGGTAGGGAGGCAGGCGTCCAAGCGTCGGCGGTCAGAGTCGGCGGTCTGCGGTCGGCGGTCAGCGTCGGCGCTCCTTCTTCCTTGGCGTTCGCGGTTCGTCGATGTCGAAGGCTTAGGTCCTTGTAGCCTTTTCGGTAGTTTTAGGCATTGGGTCAGTTGGCATGGGAAAAGGGTGATTCTATATTTCTATATAGACTATAGAGCCCCCCCCCCCCCCCCCCTCTTCTAATTTACCTTTAGTGATGCCTAATGATCGTTTAAACGCCATATGCTTGTTTTGGTAAATTTGGTTTTGTTGATGTTTGGGATGAATGCTACACCATTTGTGTTTGATCCGGGTGGAACATCGGTGGTTTGGCATTTTATGGAAGGGGCGAAATTGAAAGCCAATAAGGTGGTTGAGGGATTGGCACGCGTGATCAGGTCGTCTCAAGTGGTGAAGGAAGAAGATGACGTGAGGAAGCTTCGTCCCCCTCCCAAAACGCCGCCATGGAAGACTTGCACGAGTAGGGTTTGGAAGAATGTTTTATTAGTTATTACTCGTTATATTCAGTCCAAAGTTTTTTTTTTCTTCCTTTTCTTGTGTTTTGTTTTGTTGTCAGTTTCGTACTTGAAGTCGTGGTTGCTTGTTTAGGTAAGGGGATGAGGAGTTCAGCTAAGTATTATGTTGTTAGATTTTTGGGGATCTTTTTGGTTAATTATAATTGGTTTAAACCCGATACACGTCTAGCGATTCGTGTTGCTCCTTCGGGGGTGACCGTTTCTATGTCTATTCGTAGGGTTGACTTTCGTTGTGGGTGGAGGATAGTTGTTGTTAGTGGTCTTTGTGCGTTTGATGTAACGATCCCGTTTCTAATGATATTAATATAAGGCGAGTTATTCTGTCAAAAAAATGATCGTTTAAACGCAGCCCCCTTGAGTAATCGGCTCATTCAATCATCCTTGTTACTTGAATAAAGCATGAAATAAAGGCTAAAATAAGACTCAGGACTTTTCACTTTCCAAAAGTAGGACCTATTTTGAAATGGACAAAAAAGAGGCTTGCGGACGAAATCTTAACGTACGGATGAAAGAGGCCTGCGGACGAAATCTCGGCTCCATCGCCATTCGACCACTTCCGCTTCTGCAAAAGACGAAGAGGTAGCCGACAACAATGGAGGCAGGGACACCGGAGACGACCAGCATCAGCGACGTCGACGGCGCTGCAACGCCGGCGTTACAGTGGCTGATCGAGCTCGGTCTTCCATCTGCTAGCTCAACGACGGTGAGTTTTGGTGGCTGGTACAGATCTGTCTTCCACCTTGAGTCTGACCAAATTGTTGTTGCGTAGATCTAGAATTTTTTTATTTAGGGAGATAGGAGTTCGAGCAATTGGAGAGAGGCTGAGAATAGCGAGGCTAATGTTGGCGCCGGCTAGAGTTGGCGGGTAGGGTGCGGCGGTGGAGAAGGTTGGAGAGACATGTTTGCACCGCTCGTGAAAGGGAAGGGCTGGGTAGAGTGCTGAATGGGGGCTGTTGGCGCAGGGGGTCAGAGGGGGTGCTCGAGGAGGGTGTTGTAGGGCTGCAGGGGTCTGGATGAGGGTGTTGGAGGGGGGTTGTGGGTTGCTGGAGGTTGGGGGAGGTGCTGGAGGGGGGCGGGGGGCTGGAGGAGGATGTTGAATGGGGATGGGTGTTGCTGGGGGGCTGGGGGAGGGTGTTAAAGGGGGCTGGGTGCTGCTGGGGGGCTGAGGAGTGTGTTGGAGGGGGCTGAGTGCTTCTGGGGGGATGGGGGGTGTTGGAGGGGGCTGGGTGCTGCTGGGGGGGCTGAGGGAAGGTGTTGGAGGGGGTTGGGTGTTGCTGAGGGGTTGGGGGAGGGTGTTGGAAGGGGCCGAGTGCTTCTGGGGGGCTGAGGGAGGGTGTTGGAGAGGGCTGGGTGCTGCTGGGGGGCTAGGGGAGGGTGTTGGAGGGGGTTGGGTGCTCTTGGAGGGCTGGGAAAAGGGCTGGTGGGTGATGGGTGGTGGGCTGTCACTGCCGAGTGGTGGCGTCGATCCCTGTCGGACGGCGACGGTGGTCAATGCGGTGGTTGGGGGTGGTGGTGGTCGGGGCGGTAGTGTCGGCGTTGGTTGAATTGGTCATGGTCATTAATTGGGTTGGTCACTGGTCGAATTGGTCATGATCGAATTGGTCACGACCGGTTTGGTCATGGTCGGATTGGTCATGGTCGCATTGGTCATGATCAGGTTGGGCATGGTCGGATTGGTCATGGTCGGATTGGTCATAATCGGATTGGTCATGGTCGGGTTGGTCATGGTCAGATTTGGTCATGGTCGGGTTGGTCATGGTCGGATTTGGTCATGGTCGGGTTGGTCATGGTCGGATTTGGTCATGGTCGGGTTGGTCATGGTCAGATTGGTTTGGTCACTGTTCCTTTTAGTCATTGTTATAGAATCCCACAAAAACAAATCTGGAGGAATGATGATTATAATACGTATATATACGGAGTGGTGTATTGAGTATTGACTAGCAGGGCAGCAGGGGGCATACGGATCATTTTTTTAAATGTTACACACTAATGGTCTCTTTTTTGGAAACTATTAAAAGAGGTCCTATTTTTGTCAAAACTCTTTTAAATGGTATTATTCATGACCTAACCCCATAAAACATTACGCGCAAAACAGAATGTAAACAACCTCCAAGAACTTAATAATGCAGGTGTTTTGAATCGTACACTAGTGTTGTACATGTGGGCATATGGACCATCTCCTGAAAAAATGAAGTGTTGTACAAGCTACTAGTGAATGTGTTACAGTATTAGTCCTTGTGCACAAAGAAAAATTTGAAAAGGCAAGTACTCCAAAATTCTGTCAATTATAATTTTTAAGCTTAAAGGATAACTTCTCTAAGCAGAACATAAGATAAAGTGAGAAGATAGTTCACAGCTAGATAGAGAAGAAAGAATCAATTATTTACTGAAATTAGAATAAATAATCAATGAATTAGTGAAATATTGAAAATAGAAAAATATTGACAATAGAAATTAAATAAACTGGGAAAGGAAAACAGTCTAAGTTTCAGGCATACTTGAGATGGGAGAAAGCTAAATGATTTTTTCAGAAGGTTTAGAAATCAAATACAGTGTACTCTTTGAGCCACGAATTCTTACATTTATTTATTACTCGTGAGGGCTTTGTACGGTCATCATGCTCGGGATTTGGAACCACAACAGTTCAATGGCAGCGGCGTCAACGGTGGTGGCGTGGAGGCAGGTTGGGACTGCTAGCTCAACTTCCAGATCCAGTCTCATCTTGGGCGGCCTTTAGATGTAGCTTGCCTGGAGAAATGGGAAACAATCGGGCTTCTTCACTCCTAATTTTGGAAAGCTCAGTCGCCTATAGCTATGGATGGAGTACGGGAGCAGATGTTTTACGGAAGTCTAGCGGCGTTAAATGATAAGGATAGAAATGGAATTATGAAAAAAATGGAAATGGGAGGCTGTGCTTAGTAAAACGGGGGATTTAAATAGAATTACCCATGGGAAAAATATTAGTTTTGGGTATCGGGCTTAAATTATTTTCATGTGTTTGGGCCTAGGCCCCTTGCCTCCTACCCCAGGGCCGCACCTAATTAGTGAAGGACCTTTATACGTATCCCATTGGACATTAGTGAAGGCAACGTCATTTAGATCCCGTTTGGTGACTATGTTTTTCAGTTTATCAGACTTTTCAACTAACTTTTTAATTAAACACGGAATTTTTTATTTCACGCGCGGATAGAGTAATAATTAGAAAATGCAAGGTTGAAGTTACTTTTTTTATGATCCAGGTGTCGGTGCTTGCGCTTCCCTAATCCTGATGTCTATTGACTACCCTCTAAAGTCTCTAGACAATTAAATCTGGATCTGATCACAGTCAGTCTTCGTCGGTACTGGTTCCACAAGACAAATCCAGCAAGACTTCCATTCAACTGAATCCAGAGGATCCTCCTACCACACGAACTCGAGCCTAAATTTCCTTCTCCTCCCTCTTAACCGATGAGCAACTCCAGGAAGGTAGGAAGAATCATTGGAAGCAAGACCTCCATCATCTTCAATTCCCTTGGTGCATAGCGGGTTTCGAACACAAGACCTCACGCATGCACCGGTAACCTCACAACCGGGTGGACTGTATACTTGGTTTGAAGTTACTTTTCTGACTGTATTGGCTGAAGTTACAGTAAATGCCTATTTTTGCTACGTAGTATTTTTTTATATAATTTTTTTTATTTTATCAATAAAATATACGATAGTACTTTAAATATGATTTTTTCATAATTTAACAGAATCAACCAATACAGCCACTTCAGTCAGAATTTCATAAATTTAAGGAGAATCAACCCATTTTAGTGTTACCAAACGGACTATTATTCTTTTGGGCCTAGACGGCCATCCCCCTAGGGCCATCCCTTAACTCGTATATATGCGGTATATGCCGTATGTGAAATCTACCCATCCAGCAGCTAGTTCTCGATTTATTATCCGGCCATGTCGGCGACGTTGAGTTTGAAGCTCTTCATTGACAGAAACGCCAGGCCAAAGAAAGTCATCTTTGCGGAGGCCGACAAAGCCTTCGTGGACTTCCTGGTCAACATCCTCTCCCTCCCTCTTGCGGCGGTTTCCAAGCACCTCAACTATGAGACCGGCGGCGGATCCCTCGGAAAACTCCACCGAAGCGTCGTGAACCTCAGTGACACTCACCTTCACCCCACCAAGGCCAGGGGCCCCCTCTTGAAAAAAGGTGATTCATTACTATCCACTTCTATGCCTTTTCTCTTGACCGGCGACTTGTTTTCCGGCAACAAATCGTACCATTGTCCCCGTTGTGGACCTTGTGGTGGTTTGATTTTTCCCAAGGGGAGTGCTACGATTCAGGCCGAAGCAATGGAGTCTGGATATGTGAAGGAGGGGATGACGTATATGGTGTCGGATGACTTGGAGGTGAAGCCGCTCTCTACGGTTAACATCATCAATCTACTGAGTTCCTGCAATATTATGAACATTGATACACTTGAGGTCAAAGATGTTCCTTTTGGAAGTGATAAGGTAAGGAGTACTTTTTTTTTGATCGATTTTGAGTTGTTTTTTATGAACGTTGTTTTTCAAAGTTTTTTTGGGTACTGTTGGTTGTTTTTTTCTTTCACCACAGATTTAAAAGATTCATACTCCGTATAAAATTTCATTATAAATAATTCTTAGGGAAAAAAATCATATAAAAATTTATTGGTTTTTTATATATTAGGGCACAAAAATTCATATAAAAATTTATTTAAAATAATTCTTTATATCAGCCAGTTCAAGAATCAGGCAACGCCTTTGTTTTCAATCAACTATGTGCATGTACTTCCATGATGCGTATACAGAAAAAACAACGATTGGTTGAGTTTTTCGCCTAGTTGATGCAATAATTCTTGACCTGAGGGAAAAAGGTGTGAAATTATACTCCCTCCATCTCACTCACAAAGTTTTGTCATGTTTAACCGGCTTCAAAAATAATAAAATAAAAATTGGGTGGTAGTCTTTTGTGTAGAAAGACAAATGGTAGGAATCTCAAATTCACCAATTAAAATAGCAAATGTTTTAAAAAATATAAAAATAAAATGGAAAGTATTAAAAATTTTGGGACAACTAAAAGCAAAAAAAAAACGACAAAGTTTAAAGTGACAGAGGGAGTACCTAGTATAGACTATAAAGTACATACATAATCCATACACACAGTTTGTACTTGATCTTTCCCCTATATAGAATAAAGATCAAATACAAACCCTTCTTAATTTACAAAGTACAAATTCATCTTGACCATCCGATGAGTTGATCCAAAGGACATAAAGGCAAGGTGACATTTTTGTAATAAAACCCAACTTTTTTAGGGTGCAACTCATTGAACGTTAATGTGCACCTGCTATTTTATGGCTGAATAATATGCACTACTTTGAACCTCAATATGCAATACAAAGAACGTTAAGGTGCATCGTACAAATATTTGCACAATAAGCACAGTTTGTACTTGATTTTCCCCTATATATAGAATAAAGATCAAATACAAACCCTTCTTAATTTACAAAGTACAAATTCATCTTGACCATCTGATGAGTTGATCCAAAGGACATAAAGGCAAGGTGACATTTTTGTAATACAACCCAACTTTTTTAGGGTGCAACTCATTGAACGTTAATGTGCACCTGCTATTTTATGGCTGAATAATATGCACTACTTTGAACCTCAATATGCAATACAAAGAACGTTAAGGTGCATCGTACAAATATTTGCACAATAAGCACAGTTTGTACTTGATCTTTCCCCTATATATATATGTTTTGGTTCAAATAAGAACACGATCTTATGAGAGAAATGAGAACGAATCTGGATCGTTAGATTTGCTTCAAGTGAAATTCAGTGTGCATTAGATAAAACTGTAATGTGCATTAGATAAAACTGTAATGTGCATCACAAAGGGTACGATAGAGTGACATTATGTGCAGTTGAATTGTGCATTACGTGAAATTGAAATGTGCACTAGGTGAAGCTGAAATGTGCAGAATAAAAAGTACGATGTGATGTTATTTTGCGCTTTGTTTTCGCACATATCAGTTTAATATAATGCAATGACTTTAAATTTTTATATTGCACATTTCATTATCATTTAATGCACATTTCAGTTCTCATTTTTCTCCTAAGATCTGTTCTCCTAATATATATATATATATATATATATATATATATATATATATATATATAATGTGGAATAATTATGAATCTGTTTGGTAACACTGCTGAAATTTATGAAGTCCTGACTGAAATGGCTGGATTGGTTGATTCGATTTATCAAACAAATATTTAAAATAGTTTTATTAATAAAATTAAAAAAAATATATGAATAAATAGCTAAAATGATCTTCTACAGTAACTTCAGCCAATACAACAAAAAAAGTAACTCCAACTTTACTTTTTCTTATTATTACATAACTCCAACTTCAGCGCAATCAAAAGTTTTCTAATAAGCCGAAAATGATGGCCCCCAAATAGGCTCTAAATGTATTTGAACAAATTAGGGGAGGGGAGGGGTGACCCCACTTGTTCCTTTTGTCTCTGCCAGTGGTACCGTACCAAATAGTCTGATACGAAACATGGAGTAGGAGTATATAAGAAAAAAAACACATGGAGTAGGAGTACATAAGATGATTTACCTTATGTAGTATAGTTAAGTATGGTACATGTGTTATGTGTAATTAACTTGCATGTTTTTTTGTTATGATGATGACAGGCGCGACAGCTGCTGAGTACTGTTATGTCCTCAAAATCGGTTCTCAATTCTATGTTTCTCCCGCTGGCAGTGCCTCGGAAGGAAAATGATTTGTGATGAATTAAAAGGCACACCCATTTTTTATCGCTACACATTTTGTATGATTTGTTAGAGATTTCTTAGCCTCGGTTCTTTCTGAATGAAAGAGAGACATTGATGCGCCTATGGTTTTACCACAAAAAAGGCACACCCATTTTTTATAGCCAAGGCTTAGAGAATTTATGCTTGTTGAGTTGTTTCTCTCTCTATTTTTTACTTTCTTATCTATGCAACTTGTATACTTTTCTTATTACGAGTACTAGTAAGATGTTACACGTAAACATTATAAATGTTCATAGCAAAATGTCAAAAATAAGGTTAGGGACTTTTGAGTGGACAAAAGTAAGATCATTTTTGTGAAATAGAAAGACCGGCTACCGTACAACTACTGACATGCAAACCAAATTAACAAAGATACATTAATAAATACTCCGTAATCAATAAAAGAAAAAGTCTAAGGGTTGGTTTGCAACTCCTTTTAAAAAAGCACTTCTTAGCTTTTGGCTTTAAAAAAGCACTTATTTTCCCAAACACTACCACTTTTATTTTTCTCGGCTTACGCGTCAAAAGTGCTTTTACTTTTTCTATTACACAAAAAGCACTTATTTTACCAAACACTACCCACTTTTACTTTTCAAAATCACTTTTTTCTCAAACACTATCAACTTTTATTTAATCACTTCTCCCCCATTTCATTAAAAAAGCACTTTTTTAAAAGCAGAAACTGTTGCAAACAGACCCTAAAGCCATTGGGTCATTTGGGTGATTAAGAAATAAAGAAAGACGACAGAGGACGGGAGGAAGTCCTGATTCCTGAAGTCCTGATCGCCTAAGGCTAAAGGGGTGAGGCGATCCGCACCGAAGACTGAGGATGTTTTCTTTTGGACTGTTTTCAGTCCCATACCAGATCAGACCAGACCAGACCAGATCAGACCAGACTTCCGTAGTTATAAAATACACAGAGACCAGACGTTTACCAGACCAAGCCAGTTCAGACCAGACCAGACCAGATCAGACCAGACCAGACCAGACCAGACCAACAAATTTCAGTCCAAAAGAAAACATCCTGAAGCCTCACGACGCACCACTGCACGAACGGGACAACACGGTCTGCACCCAGGGGCGGCCCTAGGGGGTGTAACAGGCCAGGGTGACTGTCCTCGGCCCAAGAAAGTATGGAAAAAATTAGGTCCAAAAATATTTCTTTGTATGTAGAGTGAGTAGGCTTCATTTTTTAATTCTTAACCTCAATTAATTGGATCAAGGTTTAATTTTTAAAATAAATGTAAAGTGACACGCCTCTCTTCATTCTCTTCGGATCTCTAAGTTTAGAATCCTTTTAATTACAAAATAAATTTTTTTTGTTAGACCTCCAAAGTTCAAAACTCCCAATTCGCAAAGTTATCCAAATTGATTTGTTGTTTCCAAATTTCAATATCAACAAGAGTAAAGAATGCTGAAAAGCGGTGAGTGCCTCAGCGTTTTGTGATAATTGTGTTGTTACTTTTCACCAAATATGTAATTTAAATAATAATAACAAAATGAGTTTCGTTTTTATTTAATGACCTTTACTAGATAATTTTATTATAATTATTATTTTAAATAAATACTATCGTATAGTTTATAATCTGTCTCGAATATAAGCCCAAAATATTATCCCGCCTATAGGCCCGAAAATAGACACGACCGGACCTGTCTGCAATGGAGTCTGGTTATGTGAAGGAGGGGATGACGTATATGGTGTCGGATGACTTGGAGGTGAAGCCGCTCTCTACGGTTAACATCATCAATCTACTGAGTTCCTGCAATATTATGAACATTGATACACTTGAGGTCAAGGATGTTACTTTTGGAAATGATAAGGTAAGGAGTATTTTTTTGTTCTTTTGAGTTGTTTCTTATGAACATTGTTTGTTTAAAGGTTGTTCTTTTTTTTGCACTTTTGGTGGGTTTTTTCACCACACACATGGAAAAGATGAATTAGTTATTAGGGCAAAAAAATCATACGTAGTACTACGTATAAAATTTATTCAAAAGAATTCTTTACGTAATCAGCCTTAGGCATGGACCCGGTTCGGGCCGCCCGGCCCGCCACTGTGCGGGCCCGGAACCGGCCCGGTTCTCGGGTCTGGGTCCGGGTCGGGCCTAGGCCCGGTGGGGGGGGCGGGTCTGGGCTCGGGCCTTGTATTTGGCGAACCGGCCCGGCCGGGTCGGGCCCGGACCGTATTGATTTTTTTTTTTTTTTTTTTTCATTTTTTGGGGTTAGCTGGGTTGGGCTTGATGGTTAGGAGGGGTTTGGGGGTTTGGGGGGGTGGGGGGGGGTGAGTGGGGGGGTTAGGAAAGCAAAAAAAAAAAATTATGACCGAACCGGAGGCCCGGCCCGGCCCGGACCGGACCCGGTGGCTACCCGGGCCAGTCCTGGGCCTTCCTTCCCAAAAAAAAGCCCGGCCGGGCCCGGCCCGGAACCGGCCCGGCCCGGAACCGGCCCGGCCCGGGTCCACAACTAATCAGCCTACTTCCACAGTACGTTTAAAGAAAAAACAACCATTCATTCAGTTTTTGGCCTAGTTGAATAGCAATTCTTGACCAGAGGCACGATAGAGTGAAATTAATTATATATTCCATCCCTTCATCAAAACTTGGTTAATTAACAGATCGGGAAGAATAATAAAGTAAAAATTATGTGATTGAATTTTGAATATAGAAATATTATAGAAACCGTGAATTATTAAATGGAAAGACAAAGTGTTAAGGAGTACCTGTCTGATACGAAATATGGAGTACTATTAATTAAGGGGCATAATAAGATGATTTACGTGATGTACTAATATACTATAGTTAAGTTGGAAAATTATATTTGTACACAAAATTAATAAATAAATTGTACACACTCCGAGGGGCTTACATTTAGTTTAAAATGATATGCTAGAATATCTGTGCATGTAGACCGTGTAGAATTTACGTGCTCTCTTTTTCGTTATGATGATGACGGGCGCGACTACTGTTGAATACTGCTATGTCCTCAAAATCGGTTCTCAGCTCTTTGTTTCTCCCGCCGGTAGTGCCAGACTGCCAGGATCCTTGATTTTATAGCCATGGCTTAGAGAATTGGTGCTTGTTTCTCTCTTTATTTTTAGTTTCTTATCTATACAACTTGCATCCTTTTCTTATTATGATTACTAGTATCTTAAAACGGGTTCTCATACGTAAACATTACAAATGTTTATACTACGTATGTTATGCATTTATAAATCTTACTATTGTATTACTTTCTACATATGTTATGCATTTATAAATCTTACTATTGTATTACTTTCTACTCATGAGCAGAAGTGATTTTGGTGCTCTAATTTACCAGAAATCTCGGACTATAGTGACGGAAATTCCGTCACTAATTCCGCTATAAACATGTTTAGTGACGGAAATCTGTGACAGACTGCCCCCCACTAAATTCTGGATAATATTGCTTTTACTGACGCAGAATCTTATTCTGAAAACTTATTCTGCTTCTGCTTTTAAAAAGAAGCAGAACCAGAACCAGTTCCAAACACCCCCTTAATACTTGTTAGAAAATAAACTTGGCTTAGCCCAATCATTGGGTCCATTAGAAGTTAACTTATTGGGCTAGTAGTTGTATGAGAAATAATAAATTAGTTAGCCCATAAGTTAGAGTTAGTAAAGAAAGGTCTAGAATACTCTTTAGTTAATGTACTTATTAAATGATTCTAGAATATTCCTAAGCTAGAATCCTATGGAATAGTGTAGAATGTTAAAGACATAGGAGTGCCTAGAAGGATCCTAAGAGACCTATAAATAGAGCACTCCTCACTCATTTGTAATACAAGAAAAAGCTCCAAATCAATAAAAGTTTCAAGTTCTTCCAAAATCATCTCTCTGGTGTTGGACTTGTTAGTCGATTCATGGAGGCCCCTACAACAACTCATTTGAAGGCGGCAAAAAGAATTTTGCGATATCTCAAAGGCACCGCCGAATATGGGTTGTTTTACTCTTCATCTGATGAGTTTAAGCTGGTTGGATATTGCGATAGTGATTGGGGTGGAGATATCGATGACCGCAAGAGCACAACTGGGTTCGTGTTTTACCTGGGAAACACCGCTTTCACATGGGTTTCAAAGAAGCAATCGATAGTCACTCTGTCCACTTGTGAAGCCGAGTACGTTGCAGCAACATCAAGTGTTTGTCATGCAATTTGGCTCAGATACATATTGCAAGCTCTCAGCATGTCTCAAGAAGAAGCAACAACAATATTCGTGGACAACAAGTCAGCTATCGCATTAGCAAAGAATCCAGTGTTTCATGATCGAAGTAAGCACATAGACACTCGATATCATTTCATCCGGGGAAAGATAGCGAAGAAGGAAGTTCAAGTAGAGTATGTGAAGACTCAAGACCAAGTCGCTGATATTCTCACAAAGCCACTCAAGCATGATGTCTTTGCAAAGATGCGGGATCTACTTGGTGTTGCTAAGTCAAGTTTAAGAGGGGATGTTAGAAATTAAACTTGGCTTAGCCCAATCATTGGGTCCATTAGAAGTTAACTTATTGGGCTAGTAGTTGTATGAGAAATAATAAATTAGTTAGCCCATAAGTTAGAGTTAGTAAAGAAAGGTCTAGAATACTCTTTAGTTAATGTACTTATTAAATGATTCTAGAATATTCCTAAGCTAGAATCCTATGGAATAGTGTAGAATGTTAAAGACATAGGAGTGCCTAGAAGGATCCTAAGAGACCTATAAATAGAGCACTCCTCACTCATTTGTAATACAAGAAAAAGCTCCAAATCAATAAAAGTTTCAAGTTCTTCCAAAATCATCTCTCTCTAAAATTCTCTCTTCCACACACAATCACCTAAATACAATACTCATAAACTCCTTTATTCCAACAATACTAACCTGATAACCTATTTTAATTTTTCTTAATAATCGCATACCTCTTCATGTCACAATGTTAGTGGTATGAAGTAGTATTCCGTATTATTTTATCACAAGGATGACTGGATGAGAGAGTTGTAAACAAATACTCCGTAATAAGTACATACGTCTGCCCTGACTTTGCTGTTTTCCAGGTGATTATTGGCGGAGCTGTTGTTGCAACAGGTTTTGGTGGTGGAGCATCTGCAGCCCCTGCTTGTGCTACAGCCCCGGCTGAAGCAGCTCCTGCAGAAGC